GCTACGGGACCTGAACCTGTTCAGCCTCCACAAGAGAAGGCTGAGGGGGGATCTAGTGGCCTGTTACAAACTAGTCAGAGGGGACCAGCAGGCATTGGGGAAGTCCCTGTTCCCCCGAGCACTACCAGGAGTGACCAGGAATAACGGTCACACGCTGGCAGAGGGTAGATTTAGGCCAGATATCAGGTGACGCTACTTCACGGTCAGGGCGGCTAGGATCTGGAACCAACTTCCAAGAGAAGTGGTGCTGGCTTCTACCCTGGGGGTCTTTAAGAGGAGGCTAGATGTACACCTTGCTGGGGTCGTTTGACCCTAGTACTCTTTCCTGCCATGGCAGGGGGTCGGACTCGATGATCTGCTCAGGTCCCTTCTGACCCTAGAAACTATGAAGCTATCTACCACTAATGCGAATATTCCAATAATTCAAAAGTTCCAGCCAAACAAGGGTTTTAGAACAAAAGAAAGTAAATATGTTTGCTTTTTCTTCCAGGTACTCAATGATACACTTTGAAGGTTTTGAATGCTACAAGGGACTACACATTATATTAAAAATAAAATCCATCTGTATCACCTGAAAGCATGTAGGTCTGATGGTCTAATTGCACAATCTTGTGTCCCTCACCTCATGTTATTTCTTCTTCATGATGTATCCTCTCTGTACTTTTTGTCAAATACTTCACTTAAGACAAATGTCTTTGGGCAGTGACCACATGCCAGTTCTCTGTTAAATGCCTAGCAGATTTGTAAAGTTTTTTTGGAAGTGAATCTGTGGCATTCAAAAGCTTGTCTAACTTTATTCCAACCATGCAGTTGGTTCAATAAAAGATATCAGACTAAAAAAAAAAATCCTTGTCTCTCATAATTCCTGGACTTTCATGGCTACAGCATCACTCTAACACTAGTAAACTTGTAAAACAATAAATTGATGACTTGGCTGATTCTGATTTGAGAAATGCAAAATGGAAAAAAAAAAAAAAAAAATCAATGCCATCATGAAAAATTAACTGGATTTCTCAAATCCTCAGTTAAAAATCTAACGTGTTATTAGTATCATAAACTCTTTTTTTTTTGTTTTGTTTCTAGCAGATGGGTTTTAGTTGGCAAAAGTTCCTTTAATCCCTTTAGGGCTTCTACACAGTCCAGACATTACAATATATTTTGTCTCAGATACCATTCAATAATGTTTTGAAAATATTGTTACTGTTAACTTGATTTAAAAAAAAAAAGCTTGTTTCTAAATTGCTTCAGCAAGCGTGTCTAGTTCTTGGCAAGAGTGAAGCAATGTTGTAACCAATTCCTGATTATAACCAGTGCCTGATTTTTTAAAAAAAAGGATAAAACTAGAAGATGGGTGTAAACGCAGAGCAGTGACAATGGGTTAAAAGTTACTGCAGCGTAAGTACAAGAAACACTGCCTTGCTCTTGGGCAAACAAATCTGTACTAACTACCCATGTGTAAGGACCTGGATGTAAGTCGCCTGACCTACTATGTAGACCACTGGGGGAAGGCAGGACCCAGGGGCAGAGTCCAAATCATAAGCCAAGTCAAGAGTCAGGAATCAGGAATCAAGTTACCAGATCTAAAGGCAAAATCCAGAGGCAGAGCCCAAAGCCAAGTCAAGGTTCAGGACTCAAGAGACCAAAATTATCAAAGCAAAGCAGAGTTCCCAAAAGCAAAAGTCTAGAGGTAGAACAAAGCAGGGGAGGAAACCGAAAACCAAAAAACATGGGACACAAAGAAGCCTACCACATCAGATCTTCAGGCAAAATTGTTATCTAGCCTGCAGTCTGCTGCCACAGGTGGACTTAAAATGAGAAGTCTGCTCTCCCCAGTAGCCAATCAGAAAGCCTCAACAGTGGCCACCTGATTAATTAGGTATAGCCTCTGGCAGGTTTGGCCAGCTGGGCAATTACTCCAGGCTTGGCTGCCTGTTAAGGTCCATGAGACCAGGTAAGGAAGTAATAGAGATGTAAAAATGAGAACAGTACCAGTGTAGGAATACTTTGAAGCCACATGTTTTATGGTTTAAAAGAGGGCAAAGGCAGCTGGGGTAGTGCCACAAGCATCACAACTGAATGTGCAAAAAAACCAAGAAGAGGAAGTGAAGGTAAGAATAACTGAAGACTTGGGAGGAGTGAAAGGAGTGTTATCCAACATTTCTGTATGTGGAGAACCATGGAAGAAATAGGATGCAAAGCCTACAGGATGCTGAAAGGCAAACATAGGATAGGAGGGGGAAAGAAAAAGAGAAAGGAGAGGAAATAAAAAAGCAAGCAGTGAAACCAAGACGATGAGATAGAGGTAGAAACCATCCAAGAGAAAACGGGTGCCAATTCCTCCCCTCTTTCCTCTACTCGTGTTATCTTTTCGTGCAGAAACAACAAATCAGAGGATCCCTCCAGAGCTCAGGGACATTACTGAATGAGCCTCTTACCCGTAATGTGCTTGCCAAATGCATATCATTTATACAATCTCCATAGAAATAATGTAATGCCAAGTACCAAAGGAAAAGAACCACTGTTGCTGCCATTATAGGACCATAAATATCACAGCTGCTAAGAAAGGAAAGCCTTATTACATGATTTTTCATCAAGTGAATTGCTACAATCAAAAAGTTAACATTTTCAAATATTCTAGTAAAACATTTGGCTTTTCCTTGCATCTGTTCTACCATATCCCAACACTGATAAATTTAGAGAGTAGAAGCAGCAGTGTGGTCCTGCTATACAATCTCTCATTCATTCTCTTCAACTATTTTTTTCACAGGGGAGGAGGGTAGATAGAGGGAAGGAGGACTGGAGTTTAAAGCCATCTCCTTTCTTGAAATTAGTTTAAAGAGTTTACCTTGCCTTCGTGTAATGGACAAAATACTGACTCATAGCAAAGTAATCCAAAAATAATCTGCAAAATCTTCCTTATAGAAAAAGGATCCAAGATTGAAAATGGAAGATATATAACTTGACCCATCTCCCACTCACTACACTGCATATCCTAGTAGACTAACTGCTATTGCCAAAGGTGCAAATACTGCTTGTTATGCCACTGTGTTGTAATAAGGATGGCAAATGTATTGCCAAAAGAGACTTACATTGTCAAAGTCTCCATCAGTCTGACTCACCCAGATGTGGTCATACAATAAATCAAACCAAAGACTGATTGAGGTACTGGTGGTTTAATTAAATCCAGAAAATAATCACTTGCAATGAAGTCTTGTATTGGCCCACTCCTCCCCTCTAACAATAGCTCAGAATGAAACCTCCTTTCAAGAATGCATGTTCTAAGACACTTAACAGCAAGACTCTCAATAAAGGTTGCATGTGTACTTACAGGTTGAGCAGACTAAGAGAATCCTCACCACTAGTTCACATAACAGCTTCCATTTATGCTGCACTTTTGAGGTGATGGCTGGAATGATGATCTCTGCTGGAACGTAGTACTGAATTGAATACGTCACAAAAATCCCGAAGGAGTACAGAATTTTTACTGATTGATACAACCTGTTAAAAACATTTTTACAGGATGTGTTAGTTGCAAAGATTTTTTTTCAGCAAAAAGGATTGTCTCACAAAATAAAATATTGCAGATTGTTATGATATACAATGTTATGCACATGGTTGGTTGTACATTTTATCCTTCTTTGCCCATCCCTTGCCCAGTGTTCACCTTCCTAGATTCAGAACTCCAGGGAGAGGGATGGTGGCCTCACCTAGCCAAGTGCTTAAGCATAAGCAATCACCAATTTCAACATTGGTATTTCACTGGCTTAGAAGGTATGGCAGGTGGCACCTTGGAGACAAACTCGTTCAGAGAGGCTTTCTTAGACAACAGTGTTCATCAGATGCAATGAAACTGAAGAATTCAGCATCTGACAAAGTAAGCTGACACATATGAAAGGACATGGCTCTGAACCAATTAGTCCATAAACTGCTGCCCTACCTTCTGCCTGGCTTCAGTCTAACACAGTGAACATCCTAACTACTTGGATTCATAGACATCATAGAAAAATAGGGTTGGAAGGGACATCAGGAGGTCATCTAGTCTAACCCCCTGCTCAGAGCAGGACCATCCCAACTAAATCATCCCAGCTAAGGCTTTGTCTAGCCAGGTCTTAAAAACCTCCAAGGATGAAGATTCAACAACTTATCTGGGTAACCTGTTCCAGTGTTTTACTACGCTCCCCATGAGAAAATTCTTTCAGATAGCTAACCTAAATTTCCCCTGCTGCAACTTGAGACTGGTGCTCCTTCTTCTGTCATCTTCCACCACTAAGACCAGTCTGACTCCATCCAATTTCAAACCTCACTTCAGGTAGCTGAAAACTGCTACAAAATCCCCTCTCAGTCTTCTCTTCTCTAGACTAAATCAGACATTCCCTCAGCCTCTCCTCATATGTCATGTTTCCCAGCCCCTTCAACATTTTCATTGCCCTCCACTGGACTCTCTCCAATTTGTCCACATCCTTTCTGTAGTGGGGGCCCAAAACTGAACACAGCACTCCAGATGTGGCCTCACCAGTGCTGAATAAGGGGGAATAAATACTTTCCTTGCCCTCCTGGCAACAGTGCTACCAATGCAGCCCAGTATGCTGTTAGCCTTTTTGGCAACTAGGGCACACTATTGGCTCATATTCAGTTTATAGTCCACTGTAACCCCCAGGTCCTTTTCTGCAGAGCTGCTGCCCAGCCAGTCAGCCCCCGGCCTGTACTGGTGCATGGAATTGTGCCATCCTAAGTGCAGGACTTTGCACTTGTCTTTGTTGAATCTTATGAGGCCCAATCCTCCAACTTGTCAAGGTCATTGTGAATACTAGCCCTACCCTCCAGCAGATCTACTATTCTCCCCAGCTTGGTGTCATCTGCAGACTTGCTGAGGGTGCACTTCTATGCCATGTTCCAGGTCTTTGATGAAGATATTGAACAAAACCAGCCCCGGGGCCAATCCCTGGGGCAGTCTACCAGCTGCCAACAGGACATCAAGCTATTAATTACTACCCTCTGAACCCAATGCCTTAGCCAGTTTTCTATTCACCTTACAATACATTCATCCAGCCCGTACTTCCTTAGCTTGCCTGTGAGAATGCTGTGGGATATCAAAAGCCTTGCTAAAATCAAAGTATGCCACATTCACAGGTTTCCCTGCATTCACAGAGCCAGTCATCTCATCATAGAAGGCAATCAGGTTCATCAGGCATGACTTGCCTTTGATGAATCCATGTTGACTGTTCCTAATCACCTTCTCCAAATGCTTCAAGTGGATTCCTTGAGGATTTGCTCCATGATTTTTCCAGGGACTGAGGTGAGGCTGACTAGTCTGTAGTTCCCTGAATCCTCCTTTTTCCCTTTCTTAAATTTGGTTACTATGTTTGCCCTTTTCCAATCATTTGGGATCTCTCCTGATAGCCATGAATTTTCAAAGATGATGGCCAGTGGCTCTGCAATCACATCAGCCAAGTCCCTCAGCACCCTTTGGTGCATCCCATCCGGCCCCATGGACTTGTATACCTCCAGGTTTTCTGAAGAGTCCCTAACCTGTTCATTCATGACTGCTGACTGCTCACCACCTCCTTCCAAAACTGCGCCAGGTGCAGTAGTCTAGAAGCTGATCTTGCCTGTGAAAAATGAGGTGAAAAAGGCATTGAGTACTTCAGCATTTTCTGCATCCTCTTTCACTAAGTTGCCTCCCCCGTTCAGTAAGGGCCCCACACTTTCTGTGACCCTCCTCTTATGACTGACCCTTCCTGTTTCCCTTCACATCCCTTGCCAGCTGTAACTCCAGTTGTGCTTTGGCCTTCCTGACTTCATTCCTGCATGCCCAAGCAATATTCTTATACTCCTCCCTTGTTGTTTGTCCAAGTTTCCACTTCTTAATAAGCTTCCTTTTTGTGATTTAATTTACTCAAGAGTTCTCTGCTAAGCCAAGCTGGTCCTCTGTCATACTTGCTAGTCTTCCTGTACATCAGGATGGTTTGTTCCTGCACTCTCAGTAAGGCTTTTTTAAAATATAGCCAGTGATCCTGGACTCCTCTCCCCCTCAGACTGGCTTCCCAGGGTACCCTGCCCATGAGTTCCCTGAGTAAGTCAAAGTCTGCTTTTTGGAAGTCCAGGGTCCTTACCCTGCTGTTCTCCATCCTTCCATTCCTCAGGATCCTGAAGTCAATCATTTCATGGTTACTGCTGCCTAAGTTGCCATCCACTACTCCATTCCCCAACAACTTTTCCCCGTTTATGAGCAGATCAAGAAAAGCATGGCCCCTAGATGGCCACTCCTGCACTTGCACCAGGAATTTGACCTCAACACTCCAAAAACTTCTTGAATTGCCTGCACAATGCTGTATTGCCCTCCCAGCAAATGTCAGGGTGATTGAAGTCCTCCATGAGAACCAGGGCCTCTGTCTGGGAAACTTCTGCTAGCTGTTTGAAGAAATCCTCATCCACCACTTCCTTCCTGGTCTGGTGGTCTATAGTAGATCCCCACCATAACATCACGCTTGTTACTCTCTCGTCTCATCCCAACCCAGAGACTTTCAACAGACCTATCTCCAGTTTCATATTAGAGCCCCAAGCAATCATCTAGCTCTTCTACATAAAGTGGAACTCCTCCTCTTCTTCCCTGCCTGTCCTTCCTGAAAGGTTTGTACCCATCCATGACAGTGCTCCAATCAGGTGAGCTCCCACCAAGTCTTTCTTATTCCCATCACATCATAGGTTCCCTGACTGTGAAAGGACTTCCAGTTCTTCCTGGTTGTTTCCCAGGCTCTGTGTCTTCATGTCCAGACACCTGAGGTGACCAATTGATAACTCTGATTTTCCAGGAAATATGAGAGCACCTCCCCTGTGACCCCCTCCACTTGCTCTTCTTCCATGTCTCCCTCTTCTCCACTAACCTCAGGGCTTTGGTCTCCATCCCACAATGAACCTAGTTTAAAGCCCTCCTCACCAGGTTAGGGAGCCTGTCTGTGAAGATGCTCTTGCCTCTCTTCATCAGGTGGATCCCATCTCTTCCCAGCAATCCTTCTTCTTGGAACATCATCCATGGTCAAAGAAGCCAAAGCCCTGCTGGCGACACCCCCTGCATAGCCAGGCATTGATCTGCAGGATGCACCTGCTCCTGCCCAGGCCCTTTCCCTTGACTGGAAGGATTGAAGAGAACACCACCTGAGCCCCTGTCCCCTTTATCCTTGCACCCAGAGCCCTGAGTCACTTTTTATCTGCTCAGGGTCTCCCCAGGCAGCATCACTGGTGCCCACATGGATGAGCAGCATGGGGCCAGAGGAGTCTCAGCGATATCTCCATGATACCTTGGATCGGGGCTCCAAGCAAGCAGCAGACTTCCAGAGACAACAGGTCAGGTCAACAGATGGATCCTTCCATCCTCTGCAGAATGGAGTCTTCAACCACCATGACCCGTCACTTCTTCTTGGTGACAGTTGTCTTAATCCTTCCCACCTTGGGGAGGCCTGGCCTATCCTCCTCCACCAGTGGAACATGCTCCTTGCCCACTGTTGTTAGGGCTCCACATCTATTTTCCAGACAAACTGCTGTGCGTGGAGATGAAGATTTCTGCTTGCTGCCAGAGGTCACAAGCTTCCAGCTTCCACTTTCCTGGGAGTCCTTGTAAGCACTTCGTACTTGTTTAAAATTAAGCATGTGTTTTTTTTACATTGGAGCTTATCACTTCATGCTTTATGCCCAACACCCAATATGTTATGGGGACTACCTAAGTATACACAAGCAGTACATAAGAATTAGGGATTCTGGTTTTCTCTTTAAAAAAAATGCCTGATAATAATTCTCTGTAGTTTTTGGCTCTGCATAAGAGTCACAAAACTAAAGCACTAGTGAAGTTGTTAAACCTTCTGCATTAGTAACTTCTGAACTAGTAACCTATTGCAGTAACAGTTACTAAAACTGCTTACATTTCTGGGTAATTCTAGGCAGCAAATAAATAAATAAAAATCAATGGAATTTTAGTAACATTAAGTGACTAGCTTTTTCTGAAGAATGTTTTCACATTATTTTACTTAGATTTGTAGAAGTTCACTGAGTGTATGTAGAGCCATAAAACCTGAATCTGTGATTGGTGAATGTGACCCAATTTCCATGAAACAGCCAGACTTTAAGACCCCAGTTCCCAGTATTACATCTCAAAGTGAAGATCTGCAGTTGTAAAGAATATTTTAATTCCTACAATTATATTCTTCTCTTTCTCCCCTGCAATATACTTTACAACAAAGCACACAGAAGTTTGGCAAGGTTGCGGGAAAAGGAAGTTCAGCCCTAGAGCTAACCCTTACTCTTTTGAAAAGTCTCAGTTTTACTCACAGATAATAGAAAGACCTTCAAAGAACTATTACTACCATGATTTTTTACAGTGCCAAACAGTCTCACTGAGCAACCTCAAACATTCAATGAAAACAAAAGCAAAAAGGTAGCAGCACCATCAGGACAAATGGCTTTAATGAAGTTGATTTTAACAGGTGGGCCTAAGGTTTCAGAGC